TATATGTTCTTAATATAAGAGTTTGTTTTTATAAAACTGCACTGCTTTAATACCTTTCTTTTCATCTTTGGCCTTATTTTTAGTTTTCTTTTTGTCTTTGTTTTCGTCTTTGTTTTTATCTTTCTTTTTCTTTTCCTCATCATCCTTATCGGACTCATCGGATTTATTTTCTTCCTCATCTTCTTCATCTGAGGTTAACAGCTTACGCAAAGCATCTTCTTCAGCCACTGATTTCATGTCTTTATCTAATTTTGCCTCTGGATCAGGTTCACTGTAAATAATTAAACATACATTTAGATACGCAATAAACCTTTTCATTACTTCACTTACTCTTCACTAGATTCTGTATCGTAGTCCATTTCACGACCTTCTTCATCACCATCATCTGATTCTTCAAAAGCCTCATCGTCCACATCACGTTTCTTTTTCTTTTTTTCTGCAGCTTTGCCTTTTTTACCCTTTTTGCCCTTGCCCTCATCGTCACTGTCTTCCTCTTTTTTCTTTTTCTCCTCCCCATCGCTATCCGAATCGGATTCTTCCTCCGAATCAATCCATTCATCCATTTCACTAATTTTAAGTTCTTTGGGCTTTTTACCAGCACCCTTAACTTTAACCTCTTCGGGGTCTTTTTCCTCTTCCTCGTCACCCTTTAGACGTTTACGCAACATAAGAGTGAAATAGTTCATTACCTTTTTACGGCGACCAAATTCCTGTTCAGCTTCCTCGGCCGACAGAGACTTGTAACGTTGTATAGGTTGGAAATTATACCATTCATTCAGTGGATATGCCTCGATAGCGCCATCAGGCGCATGAGTGAATACATAAAATGCAGCATTTTCACTAACACCTCCTTCTCTTATACCCTTAAACTTTTTGCCACTTTTCCCACCCACCTTCAAAATCCAAGGTTGAGCTTCCGGCCTATATTTTTTGGCTATTATGCCGAACTTTTTGCGTCGCACTTCCTCGCGTAGATCACGATTGTACTCGGAACCAGCACCAAATTTGGGCATGTCCTCTTCGGCACCCTTGAACTCTTTCATATTATTTTCACGTTCCAACTTGACATTACGCCATTGAGCAAAATCCACATTTAGGGTGGCATTGAAACGCATAACATGATGTTTTTTTCGTAAGTTTTTCGGTACACGTATATTGAACTCCTGAACATTGGCTGGTGGAGTTGGTGCCGATGATGCTTGCGCGTTGGCATTTGACGAAGTCCCGGCACTTGTTGAAGGCTAACAATATATAGACAAATTAAGTTATGGCTGAAAAAACTAATTGTAATATGTGCATTTTGCTACTTACTGCAGCTTTAGAGCCCGAAGACATTTTATTTTTAGTTGCTGGTGTTTTTTTTTTTTTAAATATGGGGCTAAAAAGAAACTTCTATTTCACGAAACGACACAATGATGAAAAAACAATTTATTTTGGCTTTCGAATGCATTTACAAAATAAGCGTGACCAGACTGCTAGGATAATGATATAGAGAATACTATTGTGATTAGTGTTGTCGAATGCAGCGATCTCTAGTGAATTTTCCGTTTTTAAATGTGTTTAAGATTTTATTGCCAAGAAACGTGTTTAATCATTAATTTTAAATAAAAATTAAGCATGTGCAAACATTCAGGGTCACTAAGTTGGACCTCTCCAGATCAATAAAATTAGCATTTTATAACAGAAGCTATGCCAAGACGTATTATCATTAATCTACTTGAAAACTGGACATTACTTCCAAAGCTGTTGAACCTGTCGACAAATCAGACTTGGAGACAAAAAAAGGGCGGAAACTCCATACCGACTCTAAACGGGTCCAATTTTTTCATTGATAGTACTTTTAATACGGAAATGAAAGCCCTTCTATCTCCTATTCGATTTTCTGCTTTATATGTTGTGCTCACAGACTTAACAACACTGCACATTTTAACAGTGTGGCAATATCATTAATGAACAACTTCACAGTTCAACAAGTTCATACACAATAGCCACATTTCAACAGCTGATTATTTGTTTGTTCATGAAAACTGTCAAATTCCATATATATAAACAAACATTTAGCACAACACATGCTGTCAATTTCCATATAGAAAAAATAATTATTTTTCGCCTGTTGTCACCTTATAAAATTCACCGTATGACAGTTTCTCTTTGCCATTTCACATTAGTAGACTGGATGGATTAATTTTCTGCAGTATCTGATGGTTTTATTAATAGAAAATTAGAGATAATAAAATAGAAAAATCTTTAAACAATACTCTAATGAATTCTTACGGTTTGTATAAAATTTGAAGCTACAATTTTTCCAACATTTATTTACGTTTTTTGCCCATAACCAACCAATTTATGCATAAAAAAATATGCTGCCGCTATAGCCATTTCTATCCTCACGACAAAAATCATCAAGCTCATTATTATTACATTTTTATAAGTTTTTTCATGTAAATATTGTGTATTTTTGTTAAAAACTTTATTTTTTATATTTTTAGTTTTTGTGTTACAAGTGTAAAATAAGACAGACAAAAAATAACAAAAAAAAAAAAAAAAATCATACAAATCATAAAGCAGTAGTTTGCCAAAAAAGAAACCAAATATATTCAAAATAAATCAAACACCCCCTCAAAAACAAGGACAACATACAATCCAATCCTCTATTACACAAAGCTCATTAGAATTTCAAAAATCAGGAAAAATATATAAATTCAAATAAAAAAATAAAACAACACCATTTTATTATAAGCCCAGTCAGTGAGCATTTACAATAACAACAACAAGCAAACTGAAAGCGCGCAAGCAAACCCTTCCATGCAATATGGCCAAAATGTATGGAAAGGGTAAGAGTAAGTATAATTTAACACTAATATACTACATACATTAACTACGTATTGCTTAGAAATTAATTAAAAGAAAAAATAAAAAATATGTTTTAGTTTTTTTGTAGTTTAAAGTAGTACAGCTTAAATGAAAACGAAATTTGTATGATCAAAATTTTGGCCCGCTTTTTTTGTACCTATTAATTTTTGCTTTTCCTTTATTAAAACAAATCATTCTTCATTGACAAATAACTTTTTATTTTAAATTATATTAATATGTTGCTTTTTCTTTTGTTTATAATGTCTAGCTGCCATAGAATCCGAGGAGCAACAGAAATTACGTTTCCAAGTTGAATTAGAATTTGTTCAATGTTTGGCCAATCCTAATTATTTGAATTGTAAGTACCTATCTCAAATGAAAACATATAAATCGTAGACCGCTTATAGAAATATGTATACATAGTTATAAGCTATACTGATGTTTACAATATTTTCATTTTATCCTTCTAGTCCTTGCTCAACGTGGATATTTTAAAGACCAAGCTTTTATCAATTACCTCAAATATTTACAATATTGGAAAGAGCCTGAATATGCGAAATATTTAATGTATCCCATGTGCCTGTACTTTCTCGACTTGTTGCAATATGAACATTTTCGTCGGGAAATTGTCAATTCACAGTGCTGCAAGTTCATCGATGATCAGGCTATTCTACAGTGGCAACATTATACAAGGAAACGCATTAAAATGTTTAACTCTGTTAATGGTAATACTCAAAATCAACTTAATGCAGCGCCAAATTCGGATAACATGGCTGAGGCGCAACAACCTCAAATGGGAGCTCAACAACCGCAACAGCAGCAACAGGGACAAACAAATATCGCAACCTGTAATATGCAAAATGGTTCAATGGCCAATACAGGCAATTCTCAACAACAAACTCAACTTGCTGGCCAACAACAGACCCAACAGCTGAATGGCAATTCATCGGCGAATGTTAATCAAAGTAATGCTGGAGGTGCTCCTTTAATGCAAAAAATGTAATGGAATTTATTTGTTGATAAATGGAGAGAAATCTTAAAATAATTAGCTTTTAATCAACTTATAATTAATGTAATATTTAGTTTATAAAACAAATTGTAATGTCTAGGTTTAATTTAAATTTTTAATAATGTTTGTAAAAATAAAATTAGAATTATTTATTTACATATAGATTTTCTAAATAATAATTAAATATAAAAATTGTCTTTTTATGTATTAAACAATATAAAGTTTAAAAGATTGGTTGAGTTATAGGCGAAAATGAAAGCAATTATCATGTAATAATTATTTTTTATTACAGAATATGTCCACGTCTCAATTAACGAAATCAGTATCAGGCGAGCAAATAAAATCTCGTTTCTATGGTGTTTATCTATTATGCAGTCAAAATCCCGATAAACGTTATAATGGTAAATGCTACATAGGTTTTACTGTAAATCCAACACGTAGAATAAAACAACATAATCGTGGTAAGGATTTTGGAGGGGCCAAGAAAACTAGTAATAAAGGTCCTTGGAAGATGGTTATGATAGTGCATGGTTTTCCCAACAACATAGCAGCACTACAATTTGAATGGGCTTGGCAGCAGCCTACATTGTCCTCACGCCTAAAGAACTATCCCGAGTTGAAGAGAAAATTGCCAAAGGAAACTTATTTTCAATATAACTTTCGCATATTAAGTCGTATGTTGAATGTGGGTCCTTGGCAAAGACTACCTTTAGTAATACGTTGGCTAGAAAATGATTATGAATGTGAATTTGATGTGAGCATTACATTTAATTTCACGAAAGCACCTTTAAAATACCAATACATATGTATATATTTTTTAATTACAGCTTTTATTTGCTCCACCAAAGCATATGAAAATTGTTAGTGGTTCTGTGGCACTTGAAAAACCCCAGAAAAAGAAACAACAAAATATATTGCCTCGTGCCATTTGGGCACCAGAATGTCATCTTTGCATGCAAAAAATACAAAATGTTGAACAGTCGCGTATTGGTTGCCTAAATAACCTATGTAAACTGACTTGTCACATAATATGTTTAGCTAATCACATGTTGTCTTCGGATCCCTGTCAAAGAGGGCATTATATACCCATAGCAGGCGAATGTCCTTTATGCGAAACACCCTTGTTGTGGATTGAACTATTGCAGAGGAAACGTAAAATGCAAGGCATATTATCCGAAGAAGAAGATGATGAAGATGAGGATGATTTCGACAATGATGAAGAAGACAGCGATGAAGATGAAGAACTAAAGAATTTGGGATGTAATATAAGTTTTACTCAAAATCAAGACAATATGGACGAAGCTTTAGAATCATTGGATATTTATGAACTGAGTGATTAAAAAATATGAAAAAATACTCAACCAAAATTTTTCTTACAATATATTAAATACAACTTATTTTTAAATGCTGCAATAAGTTTTATATTAAACTTGTATTGTATATCAGAATATATATCAAAATGATGATTAGTAAAATATAATTTATAAGTTTTTCTTTAAATAGGCTGTTAAATAAACCATATTTTTAAGAACTCACTTATTACAAAAATGTATGCTGTCTTTTTAACAGCTTCTATATTTTATACTTTCTACCTTAAACATCTAATAAATTTAAATGTTCCTTTATGGTTTTTATTGTACTCTCCATTTTCCTTAATTTTTTCATTAATTCCAGTTTTTCATTAATATAATGTTCTTTGGGCATTTGGACGTATTCTTCACCCTTGAATATAAATGTTGTGACATGTTCTCCATCAATCAGATCATTTACATCTATTTCCTCTTTAGTAGTTTCCTCACTAACAACTGTTGCAGATTCTTGTGTTTGGGATAAACTAGTTGAGGCACTTTTAGCGGCCGTACTTGGTTGGGGAGATTTTGCATGAAGTTGTTTCTCAGGAGATTTTCTTAAGGGTTTTTGTAATATGGAAGTTTTGATAATTTTTGCATTTGATGAAGATGCCTGTGCTTGAAGTATTGTATTGTACAACTTTCTTTTGCGGTTATTGGCCAGAACAATTTGCTGTGTATCCTTTTCTTCATCTGTATAAACTATACATTCATCGGTCTCTTCATTTTCCAAATTAATGGAGAAATGTTCATCATGCAAACTTTCTTGAAGCTCATTTAACATTGTTGTTGATTCCACCTGTAAATCTTGTTCATCTTGTTGCCTCTCGGTGTTATCACCATCTTCCTTATTCAACTCATATAAAAAGTAGTCCAGATTACTCCCACTGTCTTCATAAGTTTCATCAACTTCGGGTTCTACATATGGGAATGGCACTGCGTCTCCCACTAATACTGTGCGAACATTATTAATAGCTAAATATTTCTTATCGAAATGATCAGAACAAAAATAGTACATTGATGCTGGTTGATTCGGGGGCACCTTTCCCAATTCCATCCATTTTTGGCGTCTTTCGGGATTTTTAGGGAAACTAAATAGTTTAATATCTTTGTTAATGGAACGATCTCTTAAGTTGATATAATTTGCACAATTTTTATAGATACAGGCACGCAAAGTCATTTTGTGTTTAAATTAATGTTTAGAAAAAATTAATAAACAAAAAATTGTTGTTGAAAATTAAATGTTTTGTATTATAAGCTATCATTCTACAATGAGTGTAATCTTTGTCTATGTTTTTAAATAGAGATGCCATATTATTATTTTCGCTAAATCCTACAGTTTGATTTTCAGATGGTGATATTATATGGGAAACTGACTTATATCCACAAGTATTTCCTTTTATGAGGAATTGAATAAGACAATTTGTACAAATTTGAATTTATGATACTTTGACTTTTAGCTATAGTAGCTATAGTAGGCTGATGTAGCAGTCAAAGTTTAAATTTCTTGTGACAAACTAAAAGTTCATCCTTCATTGAAGTACTGAGCCGCGTATTAGTCGAAATAGTCTAGAAATAGGAGGACGACTAAAACTGTTGTTAAAACGTGAAACTTCTGAAAAATACCGCTTACTAATTACACGGATTTTGTTTTTATTTAATATTGCTGAAATTTTATCTGAAAACTTAACGCCGATTATAAGCCGCCGCCTAAATTTTTATTGTCAACTGTCTCCAATATTAATGTTTGTCGGCGCAGGTTTTTGCAGTGCAGTTTCTTAACAAAAAAAATGAATTTTCTATAAAATTGTTTTGTAGCCATAATAATAGTAAAATAATTGTAATTTCAAAGTTAAAAATTAATAAAGTCCTTAAAAATCGAAAAAAGATGTTCAATGGCATGGTACAGACCATACGAAATAGTGTCGTAGGCACGTATCCTTCATGTCATGTAAATTCCCGTCTGGATGAACGTAGAGCTAAGGCAAGAGCATTGAGGGCAGAACGTAGACGTAAGCCGGATAAACCAGATGATTTTGTAACTTATGAAGATTCCGGTAGTGATGAAGAGACACCTCAACAGCAAGAAGAAGTATTAAATACTTCCTACAATATATTCGACTTTATAAGAAGTAGAGAGAATGGTTTAAGTGAGGTAAGAAGGAACTGAAAAAAACTTTTAAAGAAGCATTCCATCTTAGTCTTATCCTTTTTTCCAGAGACGTAATTTCAATTTTGAACAAACAAGTCGTTATGTTTTGACTCATGATATGTTACGGGAGACCCAAATCAATTTGGGTTATATTAATAAGGTATTTTGCTCCAAGTGGCTAAGTAATCGTCAAGTTATATTTGGTACCAAATGCAATAAGGTTTGTGTTGACTTATTTTTTAAATAATTAAGTTCTTTTCCCAATTATAGTAAATTAAATCTTATTTGTATCAGCTTCTTGTATATGATGTTAATATGCGCCGAGTGGATGCAATTCCTACCTTATCAACGAATCGTGCTAATCATGCTGAGATACAGGGTGGTCTTCATGCAATAGAAATTAATCCAAGTCGTACTTATATGGCAACTGGAGCTCGAAATTCAGCTGATGTTGCTATTTATCGTTTGCCAACATTGGATCCCGTTTGTGTGGGAGAGAATGGTCATCGCGATCTAATAATGGGCATGTGTTGGTTAGACGATCAGTTTTTGGTGTCTGGTTCAAAAGATTCGCGTATGGCTTTATGGCGTATAAATGAAGATCACATGGAATTTCCAGATGGTGGCAAAGAATCGTGTCCTACTTTTGCCACAATAAATCCATTGTGTGTACGAGATTGCCGTACGGCTCAAAGGGTAAGTTAGAGCTAAATGATAACTTTCTAGGCAACTATCCACAAATATTTATTTTTTTTGTTATATTTTACAGATACGCTCACTTTGTTTTAATAAAGAATTTCGTGAGATAGCTGCTTTATCCCTAAATGGTTACATTCATGTCTTCAATGCTGAAACATTTAAACAAAAACTATCACGTAAACTGCCAAATTGTCAAGATAATGTTAGTATAGCATACCATAGCGATGGTCTTTATGCTATAGGATGCCGATCATATACAATACTATTGGATACAAGAACATTACAGGTATTCAAAATACATAATACATACAATTTATCAAAAAACACTAAAACGAATTTTTTTGCAGACAATAAAAAAGATTACCTCGCGTTATAGTGGTTGTGGCATTAGGGCCACATCTTTTGAGGGTAATCTTTTGACAGTGGGCACTGGTCTTGGTATGCTATTGTTCTACGATATACGTGCTGGTAAATATTTGGAAAGTAGTGTTAATGCTTCGCGTACGGTAACATTGAAGTGTAGTAAAGGCATAGTGGTAAGTTTTTTATTTTTTAAAGCAATAGCATTGATAAATTGCTTTTCATGCAATTTATTTTAAATATCATTAATATTCTAAATTGCTAGTATCCTGAGGATGAAATGGATGGCTTTAATGTTAAATATGTGCCGGCCATTTATACGCATTGTTATGATAGCACTGGTATGCGTTTATTTGCCGCTGGTGGTCCTTTGCCAGCAACTTTAGTTGGAAATTATGCGGGTGTTTGGCAATAGTGTTAATTTTACGTAGCTTTTTAGATTAAAATAAGAAGAAAAACAGAAACAAATTAAACAAATGTGAGAAATTAAAACTGACTAATTACTAAGTAAGACTTTAGCAATATTTATTAAAAACAATTAAAAAATTATTATAATGCAACTGTATATAAAAATATGTTTGTATTAGGGGTGTAATTGAAATTTTATTACTGTAACATTTATTATTGTTTTTTTTTTTTTTTTTTGATATATAAATCGTATACTTTTGAAGGTCGTTGTGTTATAGGTTGGTTATATTTTAGATTTCAAAAGTTAATTATTAAATATTTTTTAAATTTTTGAAAATTCAGCATCTCTAACATTGGGCCTTCTTTGGTAGATTTTTATTTTATATAAAGTTTTAACAGCTTTTTTCTAAAAAAAAATGTCCTTTAAATTCTTATAATTCTTTAATCATATATTTTTGTCTCTCTACCTGTATGTTTGTTGAAATCAATTTTCAAACCTCAGATAATTCCCAGCTGCTATGGAAATTTACACAGTTAGCAGCAAGATAGTTACCAATTCGTTTTTAATTATGAATAAGGAAGCTATTCATCGCGTGATGCGAGTTTTGCCGTTTTTGCGCATCATAATTTCTGTGATGCATATATGAACGTACTGCGCATCAGATGCAGTGCTGTGATGCATTTCCGTTGCTATTGATTCATTGTTATCCCCCTATTCTGCATTTCGATTACGTTTCAGCATTAATTTATTCAATGGCCGATAAAAAACGGAATCGGAAAAAAGAAGATGCAATTCTATTTCTTTCAATGCCTTACGATAGTGTGTATCCTGCATTAATAAATTAGTTACGATTTTGTAAGTTGTTACTTTAGTGACGAAACGTTGAATCAAAATGCAGAATATTAAAGTTGTCAGGCGGAGAAAGTTTCTATACGAATTGGAATCTATAATGGGGGTGATTAAAAAAGTTATACCCCTAATATGAATATAAAAGAAAAATGCTTTTTATTCACAGTTTATTGAATTGGGCAAAAATAAAACGAAATATTATTTATCAAAAATTCCATTCAAATTATATGCAAATACATATATATATATATATTTACCACCATTCATAAATTACTTAGGCTTACACTTTTCTAAAGGATTTAGCTGCCCTGAATCAGAACATCTTTCTTTTTATATACATATTGACTATAAGTATAATGAAATTCAAAATATATTTAACATTCATAAAAGTCGTGGTATTTGGAATTTAGCTCATATCTGCCTTATTTATGGATCGATTTTGCTGAACTTCTCTCACCCTTTTCACGACAATGAAGGGCAATAATTAAAAATGATAAAATGTTTCAACTTCTTTATTCAAAATTTCTTTTGAATGGTGGTAAAATCGAACGATAGATGTGAACTCCTAAATAAAAGTTCATAACAACACACACACACTTATCTCAATACAATTAGGTATATACTCTATTAGTTCTAATTTAAAACTTTATTTGAATATATAAGATAGTTTTTAAGTCTCAAAATGTTAAAATACTATAATAATGAAATTTATTTGCAAAGTTCCTGTACTATTAAAAAATAATTTGTTTTTATTGGACACCAATGACTTAAATCAAATTATTACAATTTCAACTTGTACAGGAAACACCACTAAAATTTGTGATTTTATATACGTGTAATTAAGTTTTCTTTTAGATATTTAACTAATAGTTTTATTTGTATATTTTTTTTATTTATCATTATTGCACTACTTTAATTAAACAACACAGCTTTTTTTATTATTGAGTAGTTTTTTTATTTTTTATTTGATACTCGTATAATACAAAAAAAAAAAAAAAATAGTAAAAATTACATATTTGAATAAAATTTGGAAAAAGTTATAAAATAATACTATATACAAACGGCGTATATATAATAATAAATTTAAATTATATATAAAAGTAAAAATTCACCCAAAAATAATTACAAAAAAATGGAATTCTATTGTTGTTTAATTACTATTAGGTAGGTATTTATAAATATTATAATAAGACTATAATATTTTGAAATTATATAATAAATTAAAAGAAATAATATAAACTTATCGAAATTTTAGTGACAAGAATTTACATTTTTTAAGGGCAGTTATTTTTTAACTTTTATTTTCTTACACATATTATTTATAATACTAGTTATTGTTGCTATTATTACCCCACGGTAAGAAATTGCCCCAACCTCCAGTACGTTGCGTAGTTTCAGTAACTTTTTATAAAGAAAAAAAGTTAATTAAACTTTATTATTTAAACAAATAATTATTATTGAGTAATTTACCTTTCTGCCCTTTAGCCACACAATTAAGCATTTCCGCTTCGGATCGACTTAATTTAAGTATCGTATTCAAAACAGGTACTAAACGAGTTTTTTCATCTGCATTATTTAATGTTAAAAACTGCAAATGTAACGAAATAAAAATCATTCTTTTATTACTATAGCAACAATTTACTGTTAAATCTCCAAATCTCGCATGTACTAGAACAAATCTACTCAGTATATTCTTTCGACTTACCTTCATTATTACATTTTTGACATATTCCGAATTATGCATATGCTGTTCTCTTTCCACAGAACGTTCTTGCCTGCGCAGCTCTTCCTTAAGCATATCATTCATTTGGGTTAATTTGGCAAGATCTTGTTCATTTTCCGCCAATAAAGCGGTTAAATGACGCACTCGGCTCTCTTGCTTCTGCAGACGATCTTTTGTGGAATTCAATTCTAATTGCAGGAAATCTGAATTATCTCTGTCTGCATTCATTGTATTATCCATTACATACTGATGTTGTTGTTGCTGTTGTGAATTTGTGATTAACGTTTCACTGTTAATGGCATTTAAGGGTGTATTTAACAATTCATCGAGTGGCATAAAATCGTGCATGGAACGTTTGGCCGAGGAGGAATCATTAGAAATTTTACGAGATGCTGCTAAACTAGCTAAAGTTTCGGCTGCTTCTTCAGAACCTTCGGCATCTTCACGTTCCATCAGGAGAAAATCAAGTTTACCCTGATCGATGGTGTGATGATCAATGTTTAGATGAGAAGGTAGATTTGAGGATTTTGTAGCTCCAATAGTGGGTGGCAAACGTATATGCTGCGAGAGTTCTTTGCGCAATTGTTCCAGTTGCCGTTGGTGAGAAGCATTTAATGATTGTATTTGCTCCTTATGACAATTATCCATAGATTCAATTTGTTGTCGATGCTGTTTTAAAGTTTCATGTTGCTGCTGAATATGTTGTTGGATTTCCTGATTTAGGGCATCGTTCTGTTGACGTATATCCTCGATAAGTGTCATTAATTCCTTGGAACGTTTTTGTAAGCTCATGTTATCATCGTTCAATAGATCCTTTTGTTTTTCTAAACTTTCTATTTTATTAGTTAATGTTTGTATGGTGGTATTCAGACGTGTCTCTGTCGCTCTCATTGTAACCAATTCCTCTTCTAGTTCTCTTTCCTTGGAGGAATCACGATTTTGATTTTTTCTTAGCACAGCCTGGGCCTTTACCTTATAGTCCAAATATTCCACGCGTAAATCTTCGGTCGTTCTTTCAGCCTGTTTAAGCTTTTGTTCACAGTCTGTTAGAGCCTGTTGGGTAGTGGAGAGCTGTAATGACAGTTGCTCCCTTTCGTTGTTTAAGGATTTTAAAGCAGTTTCTTGATTACTGGTGGATTGTGCCAATTCTATTTTAACATTTTCCAGTTCTAGTTTCAAATTCTCCACATCTTGTTCCAGAATCTTTGTTTTATCATAAGCTTGTTGTTTACTATGCATTTCATCTCTGAGTGTCTTGTGTAGATGATCAATTTGTTGTTTTAATTCTTGAGAGTGTTTAATTTCAGACGCCTTTGAAGATTCTAATAAATCAATTTCTTTTTTTAGTTGTATAATAGTGGAATCCTTGCTTTTTAATGATTCTTGGGCAGCTTCTAATTCCAAGGAGCGGCTAGCAAGTTTATTAGTTACTTCGGTCAAAGATTTTTCGGCCGCCTCTATTTCCAAATTTAAAACATTCGCTTGTTTGCGTGATGATTTTAATTTTTGATTTTCTGCTTTGAGAGAATCGATGTGTTTTTGTTTTTCAGTGATTTGATTTTGTAATGCGTCCATATTAGAAGTTTTGTCTTTGAGGTCCTTCAATTGGGCATTCAATTCAGTTTCGTGTGTTTTAAAGTCTTGTATTTCCTTTTCAAGTCTTTGTTTCACCACCGTCTCTTCTTGTAACTTCTTCTTTAATTTAGCAGCTAAACCTCGCAGTTTATTGTATTTATCTTCAAATGAATCCTCTACATCTTTAAGTCTTTGCAGCTCATCAGCTCTGGAAATTGTAGATGTAGACAGAACATCACTTTGATTGTCTAAATCATTCGAGTTGCTAGCACTATTAGTTTTCAAATTGTCCAACTCCATGCTGAGTACCCGAACTTTTTCTTCATTCAATGAGCTGCTATGTTCCAGAGCTTCCAATTTCTGTTTAGTACTTTGTATTTCTTTTGTAATTGTTTCTAATTCACTTTGTTTCTCATTTAATTGAACATCTTTTTTATCTAGTTCTTGTTGTATGTTTGCCAGTCTTTCTGAATTTGTTTTGAGTTCAGTTTTTAGAACATGATGTTCTTCTTGTTGTCGTGAGATTAGATCTCCTCTGGCTTTAAGAGCTTCATTTAACTCACGCATTTCATCGAGTAACTCTCCATGCTCCATTTCTTTGTTTTTATACATTTGTTGGTATTCTTCCAAGGATTGTTGAGCTGCCAACAGTTGTTCTTTTAAAGTAAACATGTCCTCAGTTTCAACTGTTGTTTTCTGCAATTCTTGCAGCTTATCATTTAATGTTTGTTTTTCTTCGGTGACTTTTTGGAAATCAAGTGAAAGATTTTCAAAACATTTTTTATCTTTAAGCTGTTGTTGTTGTAAAGCCTCAAGCTTCTCGGAAAGTACTTTACACTCATTTTGTGATTTCTGTACAGAATCAATTAACGATTCTTGCATTTGTTTTTCTTCCTTTATCATAATTAACTCTGATTTGAGCCTTTCAAATTCTTGAGTTTGATTTTCAAGGGAATGTTTTTCTTTTTGTAATTGTTGTACTTTCTCTAAAAGTTGTTGGCACTCATTTTGAGAATCTTGCAAAGATTTTTCAGCATTTAATTCTTTTTCATTTTGCTCTGCAGATACATCTAAAATTTCAATTTTATTTTTAAGTTTCCGATAATCCTCTTTGACCCTATCCAATTCTGTAGTTTGAATCTGATAGTCTTCACTGGCTTTTTGAGCCAAGGCTTGCAATTCTTCCAACTTTACAGCAATTTTAAAACATTTCTCAAATTGCTTACTCGAATCCAATTGATGATGATCGACTTGGGATTTAGCATTATCTTTCAATGCAATATTTTCAGCTTTGATAGCTTGATACTGTCCTAAAGCACTCTCACTAAGCTGCCACATTTCATCAAGTCTTTTAACATAATTATCAACACTTAACGGTATAGACTCTTTAGTTTTAATAGTTAAATTTTCTTTTAATTTTAGATTTTCATGTTGTAAATTAAGATAATCATGTTTGGCCTTTTCTGACAATTGCAACAACTCATTAAGCATGTCCACACAAACAAAGTTGTCGGCAGCATTTTTCTTTTCTCTGCCCAACTTTTGCAATAATTTTTGATTTTCTTCTCTTAAATCGTTTAGCTCTTTGCAGAGTAGTTTTGAAGCTCTAATAATTTCATTTTGCCACTGCGACACAGAATCTGCATACTCATGTTGTGTTTCCAAAAGTATACGTTTGCATTCTTTAAGTTTTTTTAATTTTTTATGCACTTCTATGAAGCGATCTTTAAGGGAATTAAATTTATGTCTTTGTTCTGCGTTGATATCTTTAATAAATTTATACTTTTCCTTCATCTCTTGCAATTCTTGACAAAGCTCGTCATTTTTCAATTTTATTTCGTGAGTTTTAACTTCAGCTTCTTTCAATTGTGCGATTTCTTTTTCCAGCGAAACTAAATGTTGTTTTTGCTCTTTACCAAAATCACTCACTTGTTTAAGTTGTGCTTCCATATTTTCTATATCGGTTAAAAGAGATTCATTGTCATCTGTTAGACGCTGTAATTGTCGTTTTAAACTTTCATTTTCTATTGATAATTTTTCTAAATTTTCAGTATCTAATTTGCGCTGTTTTTGTAATTCGGCAACTTGTGTTGTTAGTTGCAGTTTGTTGTCAGTATATGCTTCCAGCATTTCTTTCATAGTCATTAAAGCTTTTTTATCTGCCTCCTTTTGTGTTTCATGTTCTTGCAACAGTTCCTTTAATTTACGATTTTCTTCGAAGATTTCTGAAAATTAAAGATGTTAAAATTAAAGATTTTTAAATTGGTAGTTTTCACTGTCAATAAACCTTTAATGGTTCCTCAGATGTTCCATGTAATATCATATTTTGTCTAAGACACTAGCATGACGTGCATTTCTAGAATGAATACGTGTTTATATACCTATTTTGGACTGAGCAACAAACAACAGAAACTCTCTACATATGTATTCGATCTATAAAAAGAGGTACTCAAAAGAGTACTCCTTACACTCCATTTAACTTTGTGATGTCCGAGGTAATCCATATATGTATACATTACATAAGAATATCACAATACTACTCACTTGCTAAAATTATGGGAGTACATGATCCACTACATGGTTATGGACATGTTTTTTTTGTTGTTTTTTTTAATAAATAAACATAATCCATGCTTAAATTACATACGACTACTTAACTCCAATAAAGTGTGCAGAGAAGTAGATTTGGGATTACCTAAATGGATCATGTATTCCAATAATTTTTGCAGGGTTATTGTTCTCTGCAGAAAATTGTGTATAAGTTTTTTTATAGAAAATTATGTATATAACAGATTCTTCTATATACAATTGGACGCATAACAGTTGCTTCACAAGAAATGTTGTGATAACAGTTTTCTCTACATTGAGAAACTAAATATCTAGCATTGCTGATTTAATGCATGGCCATAAATAATACAATATTTCTTATAAGAACTCCTCAATTAATTTCGCTATTTTTTTTTGCAATTGAATCACTAAAAGTTCTTTACTCCTCCCATTTTACTTACCATCTTTTGCTTGTTTTGCCTTTTTCGCTATTCCCAGGAGTCCCTTATATTTTTGTATAATTTCCTCTTTACTCAGCGATTCCAAAGACATTTTTTGCTAAAAATTAATTGAATAGATATGTATTATTAAAAATAACACGTATTCATATATTTGTTTATTGTATATGAGAAAAATGTTTGTAGACTGTTACCCCTGGTTGTGGTGTTGTATCCATTTTTTCTTCATCCATTTATTATTTGTCTAATGAAAACAGAACGACCTTGTCGTATTTCTTATCACTTTTTTATCTGTTATATGTGATATTTTCTTGGAACTTATTTAGTATACAATTAATTTTTATTCAATTAAATGAAAACTGTTTTGTTTATTTTGTTTTGATGTCGTAATTAATGAAAAAAAAAGGTTTTTTATTTATTTATATTTTGCTAATTTTTTTCTTGCTCTGTTTTCATCATCTTCTAGTTAGACACCTGCGTCGACAGAAATTAAACAGATGACTGGCACTAAACAATTTCGACGGCGGCTTATAATTAGCTACATATAAGACGGTTAAAAGAGAAATTGAAGATGATGATTTATTTGTAAGCAGTGTTAACAAATCCGCGTGTTTTCTTTAAAAATGAAAATATTTTGTCGATAACGGTAGCTTTTTCAAAAAAGCTGGTACAAAATTTGAAATAGTCCCCTAAAATTCAAAACAACGTATCATCAAATAAGCCTTATTTATACAAAGATTTAATTTATAATGTTGGATTTAATTTAATACAAAGATTTAATTTATAATGTTGAATTACTTTAAAAATAATTAAAAAAGCAAAACCTTAGTACTAAAAAGGATTTATAATTCTATTATAAGAATAAATATATACGTGAATCAGTTTAAGTTGAAAGAAGCCGTTAAATTTCAGACGAAATTTTTACTCTTTCGCCTCTTAAATTTTTAAAATTATGATAGTGCACCTGGATGCACTAAGCAACTCTAGACAACACAAAATATTGTGTTTGTTGCCGAAACGCACTCACCTTACTTATTACATCATGATAAGCTGCTAGGGTGATCGATTATTCGACATTTTCCAAAACCCGGTTTTCGAATAGTTGACATTAAAAAAACCGATTGATATTTTTCCAATTTAGAAAAAAACTGTTAACCGGTTTTTCATTATAAATGAAAAAATATTTTAATTTGAAAAAAAAATAATAACGTTTATGTTTAAATTTGTTTAATAAAACATGGACCGAACTGATTTTTAACAGTTTAAAAGATCTACTTTAGATCTAGTCGTCTGATTTATATTATTTTTTTTAATGTAAAAAAATTAGAAAAAAAGTCGGACACTTCTGTTAAAAATAAGGAACTATTCTAAAATACCTGTTATGCAATTTTCATAGGCATTCCAACACTTCCACAATATTTAATCCGAAAATTTATTTTTGTAATTGGAATATAATTTTAAGATTGATAAAATTTTATTAAACAAACAGTTATTCCAATGATATTTGTTAAAATTTGTTACTTAATTAGGAAAATAAAAAAAGTTTAACTCTTTCACGTATACGGGACACCGGTTTCCCAAGATTTTTTTTACATTTTTCTCGATTTAGAGCGTAATTTTGAGTTCACAACTACAGTAATTGGTAATTTACAAAGAAAAATACTTTATTTTTTAGAATTTGATGTCACTACATACTAAAAGGGATAATATCCTGCGATATCTTTGAAAACACTTTTTCCATTTTTCATCAAAAATGATCGATATGCGTCAAAATAAAGTGTGTAGTGAAGTCATATCTATAAAAAGTCCGGTGGTTTAGTTTCGTGCGTGAAAGGGTTGCATTAGAAAAATATACTAGTCTCTGGACTCCATTATTTTTTTAATTTAGACGGGTTGTATTATTATTTACTTAAAAATTTAATTTAAGTAATCTTTGAACACAAAGCAAATAAAAGTATTCGAAACCGCCTTTTAAAAATTAAAAAAACCGGGTTATTCGATATTTGAAAAATTAACATTTAGAAAAAACCGACACTGGTAAAGCAGAAAAATCGGTTTTAAACCCGATTGAAAAACCGAGTCGATCACCCTATAAGAAGCTAAGATTAATATAAAAAATAAATAACATTTTATTGGTATCATTTATCTAAAAGTATTTTTTATATAATGGAAAATCGCTGGATTTTTATGATCTCTTTTTATACAGGGCAATCGCTTAGTTTGCCAAGAAAACCGCTGAATTGTCTTCATTGGGGAAATGTCAAGTGAAAAACATTTTTAATCGAGACGACGAATAATACGCGAAAAAGGACACGCGTTACAACGCAGATAATAATTTATTTTTCATAAAAAAATGAGAATTATCAGTTCAATTTGCGTAATAATTATTTGTCCGTAAAGAATGCAGCAAAAATTAAAAATGTTTTACAATAAATATAAAACGTAAACACGTGAAAAACATGTAGACAAAATAGTGATGGAACATAATCACGAAAACGACGAACATAAAAGAAAGAACGCAAAAAAACGAATAGAAAAATAAGTGAAGAATAAAAAAAGAATAAAAGAAAAAATGTTTTATTATCGAGCAGCAGACATAGCAGCCGCGTTTATTATCGCTTTTGCTGTATCTTAAATTAATGGAAAACTAATCTGTGCTCGGTCCGAAGATTTTCAAGATTAACAAGTTCAAAGGATTTTTTATTGTATTTTATTGAAAAGTTTTAGCTAAGTGATACACATATACATAATAAGCGAGTTTGGGGGGGTTAAACCCTAAACACTAACTCTCCCTCTAGTGTAAAGTAGTTTTAAGATAAGACATAACAGAACAGAACAAGTGCTTTTTATTGGAAGCATACTACATACTAGTTGATTTAAGAAAAAACGAGAAATAGAATTTAGTGATAGTGATCATCACGGAGCATTAGCTGCGTGTACAGTTATTGCTGAACGCGCGCGCGCTCTCAAATTTGAATTGCCAACAAACACAAACGCGATATGTCCGAGAACAAAAATGGACAAGGAGCGCAGTGGTCGAAAGGTGCAGTAACAGCAGCAACGGCGGCAGCAGCAGCAGCTGCTGCAGCACAAAAACAACAACAGCAACAACTTCAGCAGCAGCAACATTTACAACATACTCCTGTTTATAATGCAACAGCGTTAAGTTTAACTTCTCCACCAGCTGGGACTGCATCAGCCTTATACGGGGGTACTGGACATTTGGGTACACATCAGACTTCATCTGATGTAACATCATACGCAGCTGCACGCTTTCAAGCACCACCAATTGATCATCGCTCTGCATCCTCTTCGTCTTCCCATATTGTACCCCCCACACCTGCACCATCCACTTCCACTACCAATGTACCTGTACCTAGTGGTTTCATACCGCCACCATTTCCACCTGCTGCAGCAGCTGCTACATCTGTACTGACCCCCAACCCGTATGCAGTGGCTTCGCTTACCGCTCCAGGATCAACACATGCAAGTGCAAATCATCCACATTCACATGCCCATTCACATCCGCCTCCGAATCAACAATATTCGGGGTCTCATCCCATGGCTTCGTCTCATCACGCCCACTTTGGAATGGAACAGTTTCAACATTTAAATGTCCAGCAACAATACGAGCTTAGCAAACTAATGGCAGCTTCTTTTAGTGCAACCCAACAAGCAGTGGGGGTTTCAAGTGGACCAACAAACCTTTCATCCAACACAACATCGTTAACAACATCATCGTTGTCCGCGACAACAGCTTCATCGACAAATGTGGCGGCTGGAGGAACGTCAACTTCTCAAGCATCTGCTGCAAGTCGTCATCCACCACAATCGTCTGGCGAAAGTTCTACATCCGGTAGTATAAATACACAAATGGCAGACCAGGTCATTAGTGCAATAAGCACTGGCACCACGGCCACCAAATTGGCTACCACACCCATACATGGTCGTCTAATGGGTCTAGGGGTGCATGCACCAGATGAAGAGAAACTAAGACGAATACAACAAGTTGTAGAGTCCGGTATAGGGTGTGTATTCAAGCATAACAAAAATTACTACGTTTATATTTGATTTGTATACAAAAATAATTTACTTTACATGAATTGATGATGTTTTCTTTTTTTTGTTTCTATTCAAAATCATTAGCGATCATGCCAAACAACAAATAGTTCAAATATTGGATCGTATTTCGACTTTGAGGCCAGTAGAAAAATTATTGCTTTATTTGCGTTTGCCTGGCGAACAACCGGAAACTGGTAAATATTATAAGACAACATAGTAGTCAACAATATGGTAACTTTACGTTTATTTTATCTTTTAGATCCCCTTCGTCAGCCTCAAAATCCCTTGGGGACACGTTCAGAGATTAATCACACTATAAATTGGGTTCGTACTCATTTAGAACAAGATCCTCAGGTATCCATACCAAAACAAGATGTCTATAATGATTATTTGTAAGTGCTGCATTTTTTAATTTGCATTTTTAAATAAAATAATTAGTCCTTTTATGTGATTTGAAGTATTATTTACCAAGTAATTTGTTTTGTCTCTCTCTCCTTCCCTGTTTTTATTAGAGTTTATTGTGAACGTTTGGATATAAAACCTTTATCGACGGCTGATTTTGGTAAAGTTATGAAGCAAGTTTTTCCTGGCATACGACCAAGGCGTTTGGGCACAAGAGGACATTCACGTTATTGTTATGCTGCTATGCGGAAAACAAGTAAATTGCCAGCACCCCACTTACCCACACTGACAACAGTGAAACCAACAAAAAGTGCTGAGAAAGATGGCAGCATAGATTTATCGACAAATATTATTGATAACACTGAAGAACAGGAGGAGTCATGGAATGTTGTAAAACAATGGGCAGAGTCTATGTTGCACGTTAAAATAGACAATATCAGTGATTTGGCAACATATATAAAAACAAATGGACCATTATCGTTGGCAGGTGGAACGCATACACCATATACTGGAGCCGGACGAGGGACTAGTAGTGGTGCGGCGCACAAAAAACATACGCAAAGGGAACCCAAAGAAAAAAGGGTGATGGCGGTAAGTAATAAAATATAGTGGATTAGTTATATCATGAAACGATTCAAAAATACTATATAAAAGCTGTTCGTATAAACACAACTAGAAGTCACAACTTTCGCATTCAAAAATTTGATATTACTACATATTTATAGTTGTATTTAAATGTTCCCGTTTGATTTACTATTCTAACGATATCTTTATTTCTTAGGATATGGGACCTTTAAAGAAACGACGCAAAAAGAAACGAAAAGGATCTTCCTCATCAGAATCCAGTTGCCATCAAAATGTAAACACCGGTGACCAACAACAAATTCAACCCCAATTATCTCCAGCTAATAGCTCGAAAAGTGGTAGCCATCATGCTGTGCTGTCGCCGGCAATGGAAGATGGTCAAAAAGTGAAAATCAAACAGGAAGTAATAGATTCTCCCGGTTATCCTCCATCAGTGGGAAGTTTGTCCACACACTCACAGTCCACAGATTCGGCTAATGTAACCCAATATCAAACAACTGCGGCCACAAATACATTACAAATGGCCCAGCATCAAGTAATGCCAATGAATTTGGCTGCCGAGACAAGAGGTGGTATATCCAACGTTTTAGCTAGAGCTCCACCAATGACCGCATCCCTAACGGCGAGTGCATTTGAACATGTACGTCCAACGGGTGTGCAGACACCGACAACAACTGTAGCAGCAGCTGTTAAGAATTTAACACCAAAAATCATGGAATTGTCTACGGAGAATCAAGCCATGTCTTCGCCACCATCTCAAACTGTTATTAAGCAAGAGATTGGAACCGAAGATTACAACACTTCAAATATTTTCTGCAAGAAGGTTCGTAAAGCACAACAAACTAAAGGTTTTTGGGCCAATTCCCCAACATCGAATCGAAGCACAACTGCAGCAACAACTCCAAATTATCCTATTATAACTACAACAGCTTCTACACCACCACCTGTGCCGGCTAGTGTTATAACAGCACCACCAAATAATTCGGATTCCGTTGTTGTTTACAACATGGGACCACCCACACAAATGGCTCCTTCTACTAGCCCAAATAGTCAGACATTAGGCGATGATGTTTCAACGCTGGGACAACCAAAGGTACTTTCACGTAATCTACAACAGTTAAAGGCAAAGAAAATATTGGCTGCCGTCGCGGCATCTGGTTGTGATCCTCCTGATCTGAATGCGGCCAAAGATGCAGCAGATTTACCGGCAAATTTAGGTTTGCCGCGAGAGCGCGTTATCAGCATTTGCAATATGGATAAGCATGAGCTAGATGATTACTTTTTGCCCGTAGAGGAGGAAAATTCGGAAGATCAAGAAACAGAGTTGCTTCAATATTTTCAGATGGGAGACGCTGAGGAAAAATTAACCAAAAATTCTTCCTCTGATGCTAAACGGAACAGTAATTCAACAGTAAATCAATCGACGTCAGCCTCAACATCTATACCTAAATCGACAACAGCTACAACGGCTTCGTCAACTATAGGATCATTGGTACTGACTTCAAATTCAACAATGACAACATCAAAAACATCCACTGGCATAATGATGATGAGCACATATAAATCTAGTAACAATACACCGTCAATAAACGATATATCAACAATAACAAATAGTCAATTACAAAATGGTAAAACATTTTCAAATACAAATTCAAACACAACAGCAAATTCTACTTTGATTAAATTGCCCTTAACGTCGTCATGTTTAACAGCCACAACTTCATCGTCGTCATCATCATGTTCAAATACTGTTGGTACTGCCTCAGCGTCTCTAGCACAATTAACTCAAAAGCATCAACAACAAATGCAAATACAACAACAACAACATCAACAAATTCAGCAACAATCTATAAATCAACACCAGCAACAACAACAACAACAAACTCAACCTCAAGTATATTCAAAGGTTTCCATAAAACGTAAAATAAATTTAAATACAACATCGACTACATCGGACATAACAGCAGCAAGGAAAAATTACAGTTTTCTACCGATATCACCTAATATTAATACGACCACCACATCTTGCAGCAACAACACTTCATTGTCGCTAAATAGTAATAACACTAATAACAGTCATACCTCAAATGCGGGATTTTTCGCTAGCCCTGGCTTATCGCGTTTACTGACTAAACAACAATCGTTAGATTGTGACACCTCCTCAGATCCCATGATTGGAGCATCCCGACGTCAGCGATCGTATAATACCATGATGACCTCTGCTTCAGCACCTCCAAGTCCTTCGGTGTTAAAACAGCAGCAAGAGCAACAATTGTTTGGTCATATGTCACACAACATTCTTATGGATCAGTGGTCTAATTCTGTCGGGCACTTCAATAATCCAACAACATCGTCAAATGTGGTCAATTCATTAATGGTCGATCAAAATTCTCTGGATTTAGACTTATTTGGCGAAGCGGCGGCAGCTGCAGCCTCAACAGCCACCAATACCACATTTGGCAATAGGACTAGTTTTAATATTAGTATCAACAACAATTCTGAGGGAATAATGGGACACAACACGGAAAATTCGGGCGGCCAAATCAACGACGTCACACAGCGATCTCAGTCGGTGCCTTTGTCACAATTGCAACGTTCACATTCGCCCACATTCAATCGCACTTTCCATTGTGGTACAAATAATCCAGCGGCCGTATCGGCTTGTAATTCATTGGCCCAAACACCAGTACCATCGGAATTTATTGATTCGGTTACAATGCTGTCGGAAAACAGTTGCAGCCAACAGAGTTCTACCATAAAACTTGAGGAGGTGGCAAATGTTGTGGCTTCTGATTCAACCGCCATGTTGGATGAGGTTGTTGTGAGTGACATTTTGTCATCTCCGGATTTTGTGTCAAAATTTTCCAGTCTCAACCAGACCGGCACAACAAAAACAACTTGTTCGTCGGCGGGTTCCTCGTCGGGTTATAGCAGTGCTGGTCATTTTTCCTTATCATCCGGAAGCTATAGTGTAGGAGGAGGCGGTAATGGGAGTGGCGGCGGTGCCATGTCTTCGTCAATATCACGTTCCGTACCTTCTACACCGTTGCCTCATCAAAATCCACAAAATCTGTTTGGTAACGGTAATAACTTTTACAGAAGACGTTTCGTTAATAATTGTCAATCGTTAAATGGAGTTGGTGCAGGTGGAGTTTTGGATAATCTTAATTCTTTTTCCCACAACTTTTCGTCCACCAGCAAATACGGTTATGGTAATATGTCTTCATCGTTATCCCGTTCAGCGTGCGATATCTCCAAATCAATGCCTTCTACACCCATAACAACTACACCAAGTAGTTTCCGTTACAGTCCTTCAGAATTTGCACGCGATTTCCTTATTAACGGCAATACCATAGATGATAGCATAACATCCTCTTTCGGTGCAGTGGGCAGCGATAATCTAATGGGGTCTGACGTGGTAGGCGTGGATGCGCCTCTTAATTCCGAATCGCTGTTGAATGAAGAAGATACTTTAATAAATGGTTCGACAGGCATGGGACAGGTAGATGCTGGCGTATTGACACCAGATTTTGCTGTACAATCTGATACATCGGCTCCTGGTATGAGCGGAGTTGTAGGTGAGTCATCTGTTGTTATTGGCGTGGGTTCGGATTTATTAGATAATTTGTAGAATTTGTCTGAAGAGCAAGTTAAAAGAAAACGTGTAAAACAAAAGCAAAAATCCCATGATTCTATATTAGAAGAAACCGCACAATCCTGCAGCACACCAGCTGAAAGTGAAAATGACCACGATGAGGTTAATAGTTGTGCGGTTGGACTTTTATTAGCCGAAGTTGGTAAATTATAAATAAACTCATCATAAACTTGCTCTTCAGTACAAACACTAGTAATTAGTAAAACTAATCTAATATGTCATTGAAATTGTTACATTATTGTTTAATATTATATTTTAACTTTTTATAGTTTTTAATTTTGTTTCCCCTTTTTCTACCTATAAGTATACTATACAAAATTTTACTACTCTATACTACTTATATTCTATTACTATTCTTTTGTTTGTTTTCTATTTGCTTTAACAATTTGAAAAAAAAAAGTAAAATAAATTAAGTCCAGTGAAGACTATAAAATATGCTTTTAAAAGCATAGATAAGAATTCATTTAAAACGTCTGAGACGTTTTATTTCTTTTTTTGTTTTATTTCCTTTTCATTTAGAGTTTGTTTGATTTATATTTGGAATAATATTATGTATGTTTTTAATTTTTATTATTACTTTTATAAAAGTTGACTTTATTATTTAATTACAACATAGTTTTGATTTTGTGTATTTTTATTTGGATTAAATTTTTTTATGTTTATGTTTAATTATATTTTTGGTTTATTAATAAATTAATAAAAATTAATGGTAAATATTAAAAACAAAAAGAAAAGATGTTTACAAAATTGTATAGAGTGCAGAGTAAAATAATGCCATAAAATTTGATGCCAATGCTGAAAAAGAGCAACCGTATTGAATGTATCCGAAACTAAGCCTGTTTGAAAATGCATTACGGCTCAGCAACTGATTTGCAATACTTGAAATTGTTATTCAATTATTTATTGTTCACTCCCACGATAATTTTAAGCTTAATCACGGAATTCAGATTAAATAATTTCGAAAATGTCGACTTTTTGATTCTATAATTTCTTGCGAACATCAAAAATAATAGGATCACGTCAACATATATTTAATAGAGACCTTTTCGTGTTCCTTCAACAAAATTTCAAAAACTCATGTTTGACATTGATAACAGTCCTGGAAACTATATTTAATGGAGGCCAAATCAGAAACAAATGTTTGTTAGCAATTGAGGTAATTGGGGCCATATACTGTGAGCGTTAAAAGAAACTATTGTTACATCAATAATTACACTGGTCTGCAATGAAATCCTAGTATAAGAAAATTAATAATAGAATTGAAGATACATATTAATATACAAAACCTACATATGCATTTAATTTCTTTCTATCACGTCGAGTTTCTGAAAAATGCTAATTTTTGTATTAACCCTTGTTTCACCGACTTAGTTTTATTTTTAAAACAAACGACCTTACGACCTTGATAGGAGGATGTATTACATCAAATCCGAAGAAATACACCTAGGCCACTATCGGGCCTGTTGTGCGCTCCTTTTCGTGGAAAATGTTTGCTATAGTATTCACTAAGTCTGATGTTCGATGTTCTGAAACTCTGTTCCCTGGACGTAATTCCTAAGAATTTTCCAATCAGTGTTCGTGAATGATATTATATCCGGAATAATAACACTTCCAAGATATTTGGATCGAATTTCGGCGAAAGCCTGACAATGGCAAAGAAAGTGCGCCAGAGTTTCACAGTCCTCTCTACATGCTCTACATTTGTCTGAATCCGCATGTCCACCTTTGTATAGGTGTGCCCGTAATCCTGTGTGTCCACTCAGAATACATACCATCATAGTAACCTCAGACTTGTTAATTTTGAGAAGGCTTCTCGTCCTGCTCTCGTTGGGGTCACCCCATAGGACCTTTGTGGTTCTACCCACGGTTTTATTATTCCAAGAGGCCTTATGGGTTTCTCTTTCCCATAATTTTAATTCTGCACTCGTTGCGTTAAATGGTTTTGCGTTCGTCAGATTAACTACCTCGAGCTCCCTTCCCTTTAAAGCTATTACATTCGCTCTTTCATTGCCGACTACTCCCAAGTGGCCCGGTACCCATATGATGAGAGTATTCGGTTAGAGCTTTTCACAATCCAATATGGTTTTAGATTTAACTTTATCACCTGATATCGCCCTAATTGCTTTCTGGCTGTCGGTACACTTATATAAAGATTCGAACCTAATCTAGCTATTCAGTTCCTCCGCAACCTTGGCCATAAGACCTTGATACTTTACAATCCATTTCACTATTCTAATACTGCTTTATAATGGTTGGTAATCTTTCAGACGTTATTATATAACAGTGATAAGTGAGTGGCTTTAATTTCGTGTCCTACTCTATTACGGATCTGTTTATATAAAATTTACATTATTTGCACGTTTATTTAGGAAAATATGTTCTTTTCACGCTTACAATAGTTGAAGATCCAATGATCATTTGTTATAACTTAGTGTTGATATGCTTAAATGACCGGAACGGAATTACCATATACATACATCAACTTTATTTACCCAGTAAAAATTGGAGCTTACATGCAAGCAGGTTTGTAAGGGAACGAAGCTATTTTCTCCCTTACAAACCTGCTTCGATAAGGCATGATTTTTATATAGCGAATTCCCACTTGGAAGCATTCCCACTAGTAAGCTTAAATATTATTTAAATACTTCACTTACAATCTGCTTCTCTGTAAGGGATAGTAGTAAGCTTTTAATTTTTTTCAGCTTACATTATAAAATTACTCCTATCATTGGTATTCCCTTATTTCCTGCTTCTCAGTAAGGCTTAATAGTAAGCGAATACAGATGCAGTTACTTCCCTTTTTAGCTTCCTAAAGTCTAAAAATTTTTTACTGGGTATTAATTTCGAATTTCGACAAGAAAATTACGAAGAATTTTACTTATGTGAACGAACAAGTTTTTCTAGTTTTATATTGAAAACAACAAATAAATTCGAAAAATTGTTATAGTTTTCAACAAAGTATAACAAGTAGTCCGACTCTCACATATAGGAAATTACTCTCTCACATATACGAGTTCCGTGTGAATTCAACTCTCTTGTGAGAAGTTTAAACTTGTCAAAACACTCAAAAGTTTACCTTACTTTTTTGACCACTTTTAAGGATCGTACGCGAATTTTCATTTATCCACAAAAAATCTGTAATTTTTTAAAATAGATTCATTGCACTTTTTACATAAAATAATGTTTAATTTTCTTAAACTGGAAAAAATATTTTTTTCTATTTATTGACATTTCATTTTTGTTGTTGTTGAATTTTAATTTACAAACAGAGTTTCAATTTTTGGTATTGAAAATTCAAACAAATTTAAAATTGTAATTTTTTTATAAAACTCTGTGTGTTCAGAACGCACCAACACATATACATTTTTGTTACCAACACATATTTAGAGTTAGGTACTTTTTCACTAACACATGCTTAGAGTTAGGTACTGCTGTCAAAGAGTCGGACTACTTGTTATACTTTGGTTTTCGATATAAAATGATAAAGTAATGTTCGGGCACATTTAGTTAATTACAAATGTTTTTAACGAGTATTAAATTTTTGGAATATGCTCGAAAAAGTTATTGTTTGTTTTTATAAATAAATATTTTAATTTTGGTCTTAAAATTTATTTTTTTTTTAATATTTTAAATTCTGTTATTAAATATCTTTTCTTTTTATTATTTACCATTTGCCTTTTTGATTAAAATCTGATATAGTTTAACAGTAATATTTCAGATAAATTGTTTTGTTGTAATTGTAATTAGCTGTTTATACTATAAAAAAAAAACTTATCATTACTAACAAAAATATAGAATAAATTTTGAAATTGAAAATTTCAATTTTAGTTAAAAGAAAGAATTAAAGTGCTGTTTATTGTAAATCAATTATTTTGTTATTAGATTAACTCAAAACAACAACAACAATACAACTGATAAAATCTTACAAATTTTTTTGTCTTAACAAATTTAAAACGAATGTATACATAAATACATATATATTTTTTTGGTTTAATTATAATATTTTTCAAAATGTTACAAATAATTTAAACAAAAAGGACAATTTTGAAAAATTTTATAAATTAAAACAAATATTTTGTATCTAAATAATAGTTTATAGAATTATTGTAATAATATACAATTAAATTAAAATAAACAAATCAACATAACATATACAAACACACATAGATAAATAAAAAAATATACCAGAAATCAAGCAAAGAATTTTTGTCAACAAAGAAAAAATAAAAAAAATAAAAAACAATTATTTAAAAACAAATAAATTCTGTGTAAAGTGTATTTTTTAAAAAGTACTTTAAATGTAAAATGAAAGAATGTTAAAATGTTAAATATGTGCCTCAGGCTTATTGTAAAACAAAAACCATACAAAAAAAAAAAAAAATAAATAAAATTAAAAAATAATTAAACGACGGCGACAGAAATTGTATGTATATACAATACATTAAAATAAATGAATAAACAAACAAATTATTCTTATATAAATATTTACTATAAATATATTCTTATATATTTATATATAAATAAAAAAATACAAACATAATTAATAATTAAAATAATTCTTTATATAAATTTTTTTACATAAATAGTACATCAATTATACTTACTATACATACATACTTACATACATATATAGTTAATACGAATTAAATTTTTTTCATTTAGTTTATCTTTCAATTATAATTTTTTTTTATATGTATGTAATTCAGGAAAATGTTTTGCCTCCATTTTAAATTCAAAAAAGTTTAAGATTACCATTTTTGTAATTATATAGATTTTTCTAACAACAACAAAAAGAAAGAGTTTGCTTATTAAACTAAATTTTGAATTTATATTTAAATTTCATTCAATAGTTCATATTTTCTTTAGACTAGTATGACATACATATGTATTTCGTATTTCCTATATTGGTTGGTTGGGTCGTCAATCTGCGAAAGACACACGCTTAGTTCCTTTGCTCCCTTTGTAATAACTGTAAAACGAATTTAGAAGAGAAAATCGAAAAGAGGAAATTGTAGTAGGAGATCAGATTAAAAAAAAAAAAAAGAAATGAGTTAAAAATTAGTTGTCAAAAGATGAGCAATTTAAGCAGAGTGATTATGTTAAGAAGAAGAGAGTATTAGACCCGAAGAGCTACTGGTCTGTTGGGGTTTGGTTTATCAAACCAATTGCAATGCATGATATAGGCATTTAGGTTATCTAGCATAAAATACTGAAGCATACTCTAAAAATTGATGTCCCATTGGAAGATGGTTTATTGATTCCTCTTCTTCCTCACCTCGACGGATTATACAGTAGTATTCCAAGTGTCATTGCATGGTTACCAAATTTGCAGTGAAGAGAGAGTTCGTGGAACATGTTGTCTATGCGTTTTTTGCATAATCCTAACGGAGTACTACAGAGATGGTCTATGTCCGGATATCACATTTGTGAACCTATTTACGAGAGATTGTCAGCGGCACAGTTGACTGTAGAATCGTCGACCACATACGAGTACGATTCCTATTATTTAAGAGTTTATTTTATTCGCCTTATTCTGTATTTCAATTCGAATCGAATGTTTCAAACCGGTCCATTACAATCGGACCACCTGAATGGAGCTTTGGGAGTCAAATAATCTTAAATAGATCGTCAGCGGCACAGTTGCCTGTAGAATCGTCGACCCCATACGAGTACGATTCCTATTATTTAAGATGTTCAGAATTGGAGTTTATTTTATTCGCCTTATTCTGTATTTCAATTCGAATTGAATGTTTCCAACCGGTCTATTACAATCGGACCACCTGAATGAAGCTTTTTGAAATAGATCGTCAGCGGCACAGTTTCAATTCGAATCGAATGCTTTAAACCGGTCTATTACAATCGGACCATCTGAATGAAGCTTTGGAGGTCAAATTATCTTAAATACTTATATTATTAGTATTTTAACAAAAGTTCTGAGTTGTTTTTAATTTATTGCAGGCGTTCTTAAAAAATTCAAGTAATCGTTTGACTATCCTGTTATCAATCCTCTTTAGCCACTTAATACCTTGTATAATCTGCCTGAAATACTGTTTTATGGTCTGATAAGGCAAGCGCCTTAATTGGGTCCATTAAAGCGCTGATCCCATTTTGATACACTTACATAGGTTTGTAGAAAGAGACATCTGGAAAGACGTGGAAAACATAGAAGTACACAGTATACGGAGCAAAAAGTTTATATTGATTTTATTGATAAGTTACATTTAAGCTTAGTAACTAGCTGCAAAAAAAGGTCTAGAAGAGTTATTTGTGTTATACACAGTATGGGGATGTCAGGTATCATGGCACGGTAATGACGCAGACGAATTGGAAGACATTACTCAGTTCTGCACCTTAATAGTAGACATAGGTCGTCACTATTGTAGATTAATCTAAGTTTAGGGATTTCAGAAACCGATGCTGACACAGTAGGAGAGGTTAGGTTAGCAGGATGTCCGCTAACGAATCGAGCGTTTGCATCTTGTAAGCGGAATTCCAACGAAATTCTCGGTATGCTCTCTTGATGGTGAGGAGCCTCGTTTCGCAAGGGAGTCCGCAATGTTATTGCCAGGAATCTGTTGATGACATGGAATCCAGTACAGCCCTATTTTGGAATATTTCGCCATCTTCTTAAGAGATGTCCGGCATTCGTGAACCAAGTTTGATGTGTATCCTATCCCACTTCACTTATGGATTTTAGGGCGGCCTGGCTATCGGCGCGTATACGAATATCGACATTATATGTATATTCGATAGAACCTGAGACAGTTTGCAGCACGTTTTATGTCTAGTAGTTCAGCCTGAAGAACACTACATTGATGAAGTTTGAAGAAAACTTTTGTTTCCTCCTTAACCATCTTTTGTTTTGGAGCCATCAGAATAGATTTTGAGCGACTCGTTACGTAGGATAAATTCTATCACATTTGGATCTGTAGGATGGATTGGAGGATTTCTAAGGTATTGTCGCCAACCAGAATACAAGAGGAAGAAGAGCTAGAAATATTTTATGCGATTTCGGCAAACTTTTTGTGTTTATCAGGGAAGTATACTATCATACATTCATTGTAAATCAGATTCATTATTTTTTTTTAAATAAAATTAGCAAAGCAAAAATATGCACTTTTCTGAACTTTTCTGATTTGAACATTTTTAAATTTATTAAAATTTTATTTGTGCAAATTAAATATAATTGTTTATCTACAAAAAATAATCTTTTAGCGTAATAAATATTGATGTTGTTTTTAGCAGCTAAATGGAAAACTACCAACTAACTAATACAATCATAGTTATGAGTAGTAAATCGAAAGATTAAATTGTTTATCGATTTTCTCAATTAATGTTCTATAGTTAATTTAATCAAATATTAAACATGAACTTAATTGTTGTTATTTTTTTAACTTGTTTTCTGCTTACAAAATTTATATTGTTAAAAACTATTCTTAAAATCTTAATATCTCTGAATTACATATAAACACTACTTTTCTATAAATTCTTAACATTTTATATTTTTCGTGCATTTTTATTTGTTTTTAGAAGTTATGTTTTTTTTTCTCTCTCCTTTTTTCTGCTTTCTTATAAGTAACAAAAAACTATGAAATCTATCAAATATCAATTAATTATATTATGTATGTTTTCTTTATGAGCAAACCTTTCCACACCCCCCATGTTTTTATTATAACCTTGACCTTTCCCAAACCCCTTTTTATCAAACAACAATTTATTAATAATTAATAAAAACAAGAAAGAGTGTGTGTGTGTTTTAATAGTCTTTAACTAAAATTATCATTATGGTTATAATTAAATATTTTTATTATTATTAATATAAAAAAGATTAAATTATCTTTACTTGATATAAATCCATATGTTGACCATAAATAATTGTATACACAATTATAATTAAAAACAAATACCAACCCATTACGATAGAATCAAATAGATACAAAATCGTAAAACAATAAACCAATTTTATTCACAATTGCAGTACCGTACTATGTACTATGTATATTATATAATCCTCTCAAATTTGTATAATTTTCTGATCAGTTTTTTTAAACAGTAATTTTTTTTGTAGTGAAATGTAATAAATATACACAAACAAAATATTTTTAAAACAAGTTTTTTATCTTATTATTCTCACGTATCGGTTTACCGATAATAATCAAAATTCTTAGTTTAAAAATACAGTAAGTACTGATGTTTAATAAATTAGAAAATTAAAGGAACTAAGCGCCACTTTTGTTTTTGATATATTAAGTGGGCGAAATGCCACGCCCACATTATACTATTAATTTGTTTGTGAATGGTTTTAGAAAATCGATTTGCCGCGGAAGGTTTTTGTCCCAAAATGACGGAGAAAAATGTTTTCTTTATAGAACACTACTGGCTACCATGTAGTGATAGGGCCTAATTTACATATGAGGAACTTCTATCAATTTTGTACAGAAAATGTTGACATCCACTAAATAGTGGACATGGTACCTCGTCTCTAGTTCACCTGCATCTTCACATAACCTGCAATAGTTGTTGTTGTAACAATAATCTAGTTTGGGGCGTTCTACATTAACGTCCAGGCCTAAAAATTATGCCACTTCAATTGGATGTGTACATAAATCCATTGGACAAAGTGCAGTAGGATTGCGTGACCAGTTGTGGCAGAACTAGTCTTGTTTTCCGCGACAGGTTTTCTTCTGTGTCTGTTATCGGCGGTGGGCGACATACAAATACGACATTCATGCGGTATACTGCGACCGCGGAATTGATGGCGTCTCTCATGATCTACTACATATATAACTGCGTATGCCCTCCTCGTATATACAAAGATCCATCCTGACATACCTCGAGAGAGCATTCAAGTGAGTGATGTTAAAGTTCGAATGTCTGCTTCGATGACAT